CCCACTAGCATGTGATTGCCATGGTAACAGGGATCATGTCTGTCTTGCTCACCACTGGATCTCCATTGCCGAGAACAGTGCCTGGCACTTAGGAGATGTTCAACACACACTTATTGAATGAATGCATGCATGCATGAATGCCAGGAACTAATCTTGTTGCTTTATGTAGATTACCCATAATTTTTGCAATAGTATGCTAAAGTAGTATCCCTATTTTACAGATGGCTGACCAGAAGTAGACCCAAGCCCATATGTCTCTAAAACCTACTCTTCTAGGGCTGGCCAAATGGCTCGTTGGTTAAGAGTTGGCTTGGGACGCCAGCTCTGAGCAGCAGGGCCACCAGTTTGAATCCTACATGGGGGCCAGTGACATTGCACCCTCTACAGCTAAGATGGTGAACAACAGCTTGACCTGGAGCTGGGCTGCCGCGAGTCGCCTGTGACAGTGTAGTCTGCAGTGGGGCTGCAGTGGGCTGCCTTGAGCTACCGTGAGAGGCCAGCAGCCAGTATGAGCAGCTGGCAGCTGGTGTGAGCTGCTGTGAGCAGCCATCCAACTGCTGGCGAGCGACTGCCTCACCTGGGAAGAGCGCAATGATAATGCCAACATGGGCCAGTGAAGCGACGTCCTCCACAACTAGACTGAAGAACAAAAGGACAGCAACTTGTCTGTTCCCCTCCCCCAATTCCCCAGTAAAATCTTTAAAACAAACCAACCAACAAACAAAACGACTCTTCTACATTATACCCCCTTTTCATTTTGTCAGGTAACATTAAGTGCAATGAAAAAAATTCCAGATTGGCAAAGGCTTTGGACATTTTATTTTCATTGGTTATGTTAGAATTTGAATTCCGTGCAAATGAGGAAACTGAGTTCTTTTTAAAGAAACACCCCTAGTTAGTGGCAAAATCAGATTTTCATTTCAGTGTTCTTTTTTTATCATATTACATTGCTTTCATGTCTGTTTTATCTACTATATATCAAGGGGGGTATTTGCCTTGACCTGCTCATTAAGTAATGAGAATGAGTGGGATGCGGTGGAAAGGCTGCCAACACACAGAAGTTGCTGCTGTGGGTTTTCTTAGGATCGCCACAAAGCCATCGTCAAGGTGGCCATCAAATAGGCTAATTCAGTGAGCCCAGTTCAAAAGCTTCACAATGTGACAATGGAAATTGACTTGATTTAGCTTCAAAGATTCCATTAACTCGGAGAAATTATGGTTTTCTGGGAGAATTCATATACAGCCACTGGTAGAAAATGGAAGTGACTTTGGTGCTTTGAAATGTCTTTCAACTTGATTCTTAGATCTGGGTATAAAACATAAAACATTATAGCTTAGATTTCTGGCCCTATAATACACACATTTCAGAGCCAGATGATTACATCTTGATCCTAATTACAAAGGAAATGCAGAGCTTGTAGTAAGCTCGTTTTAAAAGGTTGAGAAATAACCTGCTTCAGAAATTGGCACTAAGTGAATCCTCCTACACACGTTATTCACATTATGTGTGTGTGTTTTGGGGAAATAACTTGCTTGAAACACATGACTTTTATTTATAAGGTCAAAATACATTAAAATCGTGGCACATGAATTGTATATCACTGAATTCTAAACTACAGAGGGTGCCAAAAAAAAGTATACACATTTTAAGAAAGGAAAAGACTGTATTAAAATTGTAATACTCAATATACACCAATAACAAAAGATGAATACAATCACGTTTGACTTCTACAATTACAAGAGGTGCTCAAAGTGGTTGCCATCAGCGTAATTTTAATAGATTTTTCCTTTCTTAAAATGCGTATACATTTTTTTGGCACCCTCTGTGTGTATATGTATATATATATGTGTGTGTGTGTGTGTGTGTGTATATCTTTTTTTGTGTGTGTGAGCACTTCCTTACTTTCTGGCATAAGATGTTCCAGGCCCACCTTGTCATCTTGTGCCTCCCTCCGCTCTTCAGAGATTCCTGTTTTTTAATTTAGATTTGCTGTTCTGTCTCAAAATCACAGAAAATCTCATCTTGCCTATTTATTTACTCACCAGCCCCAGCTCCTCTCCGACCAAAGCCCACCACCACCACCATCACCACCATCACCATGAAAACTCTGGGCTCACCTATCTACTTGTTCTCCAAGGTCAAGGTCTCTGAGTCTTTGCTCTTCCTGGTCCAGGATCATTTCAAATGTCATTTCCTCTTTACTCTTTACCCCGGGCCAATTTAACTGTTCCCTTATCTGTTTTCATGGCACTTCTTACATATCTTTATTATGGTGCTAATCTTGTATTATCGTGCCTTCATTACATTTCTGGCTAGACTGAACTCAACTATGTTTAGATAATCTAGGCAAATGGTATTTTCCCTATTTTGCAGCAGAGCACAGAGTGAAGGCTCTCAATTACAGCTTACTTCTGTCACTTATTACTGTAGGACCTTGGGCAAGTTACTAAACCTATATGTGCTCCAGTTTCCCCAACAGTAAAGTGTGGATGATAATACATAAAAACTGCCACATAGGGCTGTTATGTGAATTAAAGGAGCTGATATTTGTAAAGCACCTAGAACAGTGCCTGGCACATGGTGTTATGTGAATGTTTGTTAAGTAAGAGTCATGTCATTGAAGTTCAATTCCAAGTCTTCAGGTGATAAAGTTCCTAGCCACTGCGCTCTCTTAACTTTGTGGAATTCTAAGATCCCCTGAGAAGCAGTGGTTCTATTAGAGACAGCAATAAAAAGAAGCTGGTTTGGGACATAAGACATTCATGAGGTAAGAGGAAGCAAAATGTTTCAGCAAACTGCTGAATTAAGGCGTAGACCAGGGAAGGGAGCAGACGCTCAGCTCTCCTAACTCGGGGTCTAGGACACATGGATTACGTTCAGGCAAGGGCCACCGGGGTGGACTCTAGGAGCTGATCCCCCATGAAGTCTCTTTTCATGTCTTTCCACTCAGGTCAGTTGTGGGTTAGGCGTTTGGGCTCTTGAGGTGATGTGCCACAAAGATTCTGTGCATTCACAGTGCTGCAAGATGGTGCCACTGACAAGTGGAAAATGTTAATTATTGCTTTACTGCACATGGAAAAGGTATTGGCTCAGTTTCTGAATCTTATGTGTGTTGTATTACCATGAGGATTAAGAATTAAGTTTGTATTTCCAAAGAAATACAGAATTTTATATTTTTTTGAATCACCTTTATTTTTACAACTGCTCATAATATAGTTGCATAGCTAAAATCTATTATTTTTTTTTTAAAGATTTTTTATTGGGGAGTTGGGGGAAGGGGAACAGACAAGGTGCTGTCCTTTTGTTCTTCAGTCTAGTTGTGGGGGACGTTGCTTCACTGGCCCAAGTTGGCACCATCATTGCGCTCTTCCTGGGTGTGGCACATCAGTCGCCGGCCTCTGGATGGCCGCTCACAGCGGCTGCTGGCCACTCACGCTGGCTGCTGGCTACACACGGTAGCCCATGGCAACCCACTGCAGCAGGGACTGCAGTATATGTTGTCCGCGACTCACTGGCAGCCCAGCTCCAGGTTGAGCTGTTGTTCAGCATCTCAGCTGTAGAGGGCAGTGTCACTGGCCCTCATATGTGGGATCAGAACTGGAGCCCTTTGGCATCCCAAGCCAGCTCTTAACCAATGTGCCACTTGGCCGGCCCTATTATTGTTATATTAATGTCGTTGTGGTTAAAAATGGTAGATTGAACTGTGACTGATCTGGTAGATGACAAATGTTAATTGACAAAATTGTGCAAAAATTTTCAGTTTATGGAACAAGGGTAGACAGTGTTTGTCCATATGTGGAAAAGGTGCTCAATGATCAACCTCTGTGTTGAATGTTAACCATTAACAAGTTAGAGTGAACGACCTGTTTAATGGGGATGTTTGAGAACAGCCATTCTCAAACTTCAACATGAGTCAGAATGATTTTTAGGGTTCATTAAAACACAGATGGCTGAACCCCATCCCCAGAGTTTCTGATTCACTCTGGGGTGGAGCCCATGAATCTTCATTGCAAGTTAGTTCTCAAGTGATGCTAATCGTGCTGGTTCAGGGACCACAATTTGAGAACCTCATCCCCTTTGTTGACTTAGAATAAGCAACCCGTCACTAGCAGCACCTTACCACCACTTGAGTTAGAATGCAATATCATTAGATTTGTTTTAAATAGACCACTTTTTGCAGTCAAATCTCTCAGCCACTTTTAGCACTTTACAGACCAAGATAGCCATCCATCACTCAATCATTTCTCCTCTAGAAGAAAAACAAACCTTAGTAATGGGAGTTTTAAAGGAATATCACAGTTAACTAACTGTAGCAACAGATGCCTGTTTCTGATGTCTTGAAAATTAAACATATTAAGACTTCTCGGTGCTTGCCAACATTTTTATGAAACAATTAAAAAGTATATCCATCTAGGTTGTGGTCTTTCACTGGGGGTCTTGAACTAGTGAGCTGAGAGCTGATGACCAGCAGGTGGCGCTCAGAGTCAGTTCATGGCAGCCTGTTTGGGGTGAAAGGCAAACCCACCAAGGAAGGTGCCGGCTTTAAATCCTCAAAGTAAGGTCTTCTCAACCCCTTGTCATAAAATACCGAGACACACGTCTTGGAAAATCGAAGTGTCAAGCTCAGCATCTTTGCCACATTTCAAACTAGGTAATTACCTTCTCTCCCAAAGGGAATCTGTTTTATGTATTTGTGTCCTTTCTAGGTTACAGGTTTCCCAAAGGCAATGATCTCGCCTTCCGTTCATTCTATACGATGCTCAAGTGAAACGCAGTTTTACAATAACAATTTAATTATTCTACATCCCTCTGAGCTACATGATGACCTGTTATATAATTGCTAGTAATATAGAAATGTGCCTGCCTCATATAAACCCTAGCAATAAACGGAAGTTTTTATTTGACCTAAAAGTAAATTGCTTATTTACTTCTCCTTTACAATATAAAAAGCCATTTCCCTGCCATCCCAAATTGTAAGTCATTATCAAATAAACAACGCTGCATTTTAATGTCATTTTTATTGTTTGCAGAGGTTTTCGGGTTTTTTTTTTTAACTACACACAGCAAATACTTTGATATAATCTAAGATAATAAAATAGTTGAACAACTTATTTTTTTTTCTTTTTTAGATTTACATTTGTATAGAAACAATCTGTGGAACTCCTCACCTCACAACTAAGGTGTCTAAAAACAGTGATGCATCAGCATTGCTTTAAATAATTGTTTGGTGAAAAGTGGCAGTTTCCATTCTCAACTGAAATGTGTCTCCATGCACTTTCCCTTGGATCCAAAGCTTAAGCCTTGGGAAGGTGGCCAAGAAAAAAAGGGTGGCTGCTCTCCTCTCTGTCTTCCCCTTGGGTGGAGGACAGTGATTGGAACAGGGTTGTCATAAAAGCCAGGAAGAAAAGAAATCAATTGCACATCTCTAGTTTTCAAGGGTCAAAGTCACAACATGTCTTTACACAACAACTCCCTATCTGTAGACGGGAAGTTCCATTATGTTGGCACAGCGTTCGCTTTTCCCCGAGTGCTCCTTTCCTTCATTAATCATGTCAGTTATTACGGATAGGCTGTGACCACTGTCTATGTCTTTCCTAAAGGCTGGTTATTTTATCACATTTAAATCTTATCCCTTGCATTATGTCACTTGGATGCTGTGTCTTGTGCCCAGTCAGGGTCTCCCATCCCCTAAGAAATGCCTCATCCCACCCTCAAGTCCCCAAAGTGCCTAAGAGTGAAGACCCCCACGGAGACAGTGACTGGGGGCCTCTGGTCTATATCATTCCGTTAATCTTAGTCCACTCGTAGATGTCTTGTTCGCACACTATGTCAGAGTTGATGAGGAGGTATCTGTCACCCACACAGAAATGTTTCTGACAGGCGGCGCATTTGAAACATTCTAGGTGATACACTTTGTCTTTCACCCGCATGGTCATCTCATAGGCACGGATCCGCTTGTCACAGGAGGCACAGAGACCATCTTGGCCGAAAAGCCTGGGGGAAAAAAACAAAAAAAGCTAAGAAGACACTGGCAGAGGCGACACTGGAAGAAAAGGTTTGAGAAGTAGGCTGAATTTCCAAGATGTCAGGAAGCAAGGCAGAGTTGGGGTCCAGACACTTCAGCTGAGACGGCTGACTGTAGTCCTTCCTGGAAGGAAGGAGGTACTCTGGGGTGAAATAGTCATGTGGCATTTGTGTTTGCACACGCGTCCCTTTTCTGAGCTCCCTGTCTTGTAGCATCACTCTCATCGCCTCTAGGCTGCTCTGGGCCCCTCTTCTGTGGAGAAGACTCTCAGCTGAAGTGATCTGAGTTTCGAGGGGAATGGCATGTGTCCCCCACCTGCCCGGGGAACTTTCACTTTAGAAGAGGAGCTAGAGTAAACCCCTGAGTGTCCCTTTGAGAGGGAACTGACCAGGAATGCAATGAAATGGGCATCTTTCTGAGACTCCCAATTCAATCATGTCATTCCACCCATGGGGAAGGTTGGTCTTGAATTCCTCCATAAGCTACAAAGGCCCTCTCCACATGTTCATTGGGGCCCCAGCCTCTGGGAGACAAGAACACGTGGGGCAGTTAATTATGCCTCAGAGGTCTGGAGGACAAACAGCACTTCTCCACATTGAATGGAAGATCTTAATTCAAGGTCCTCGCTGCACCGTTGGCATGAATCTTTAGAGAAACTTCTCTTCTGACATTGAAATCAAGACTCTCCTAAATCTCAGTCGATTAGTCAATGAATATTTCAGTAGACCAGTCACTGACTATTTCAAGCAATATTGTCAATGTGGGAGATGCAACACAGTGGAGCCTAGTCCAATGGTTCTCAAAGGCTGTCCTGGGACCAACAGCAACTACACCACCAGGGGGCTTGTTAGCAGTGCAAATCCTCAGGCCCCCCCTGACTGAGACACTTTGGGGGTGGGGGAAGGCCCAGCATTCTGTGTGTTAATGAGTACTTCCAGGTGATTCTGATGCAGGTTGAAGTTTGAAAACTAGCCTGCAAGAGTGGAATGACACATGTATTGGAATCAGAAGACACAGATTCAGTCCCAGACTAGCCCTGAGTACCTAAGTGACTCTGAAGAGAACGTTGATTCCGATGAGTTCATGAAATGGCAGGGAGCATAGCATCTACATCACTCGGCTGTTAGAAGAATCAAATGCAGCATGGCAAAACACCAACCGTCAAGGGCTAAGCCAATGCGGGTTGTGTTTTAACATATCTCAAGTGTTTCCAACTGCGCCAGTCTCGCTACAGGAAGTCCAGACACGCCTGCTAATATGGCATGTTAGCAGGTCGTTTCCACATAAAACCTTCAGGATAGTTTTAGGTAAATGCTTGTTTTTATTAGCAGAGAATCAACTGGTACCTTCTGAGAGGCTGTAAGGGACATAAGGGCAGTTGACAAATTTTGAAACATTTGGGCAAAATTAATGGAATCAAGAAGACGTGGGCTGTGGGTGGAGAGCTCATTGTTACAGCCAGCACCAGCTCACTTCCCTCTGCATCCCGCTTTCCATTTGAAGAGCTCTGAGTGTTTTCAAGGCACCACCTGGGAGCAAACTCATTATTAGGGGAGAACATTTTATCCCAGCGTAGCAGATGGTGGAGCTGTAGGAAACTGCCACCTTGGAGGTCACAGAGTGGAAAGACAGTTCTGGTTTCCTGACTGTTCAGTAAGTTGAGTTTGGGCCTGAGCAAGGATAAACGACTCACAAAACAGTGTGTGTGGAAAGAAGCCAACTGCCTGCGGTGTGTGACCCTTAAGGAAGGAGAGCGTTTATTAAAGGGAAGTTGGGGGTAAATTACAATACACATCAGGCAGCTAATGAAGGGAAGGATGAAGGAGCAATATGTGGGAGACAAGTTCAGATCCTAGCATCACCTCTAAACTAGCCAGGTGCCCCAGGGAAAATGACATCCTCTCTCCTGGCTTCTGTGTTTTAAGCGGGAAAGCAAAAAAAAAACTGGAAGAGAAGGCCTCTGCAGCCCCCTCCAGCTCTGGTATTCTGAGATTCTACTAATAGTAAAAATACAGCAGGACTTGACATCTAACTGGAGCATTCACCTCTGGCACCAAGAATCGGTGCCTTAGGCTGAATATCCCAGAAGCAGAGCCTGAGGTGAGAATTTATTGAGGCTGTGTTCTCAGGGGCAACTAGTTAGTTAGGTGGCAGGCGAAGCTGGACAGAAGGGGAGGAAGGCAAGCAAAACTGCATCTCAGGCAGAGTCCCTCAGGTGGGGAAGCTTTGGCCTAACCCAATGGAGGCTCTGGGGGTATAAGTTATCATGTCTCTAGGTCGCCTTGGTTGCAGGCATGATTGCCCAGCTTTGGTGCTCCAGCGGTAATGATCATTGGTTAGATGTACTGGGCTTGTGTGGGGAGTGGGCATGCTTTTGGCTCTAACAGGTGCTAGCTTGCTAGCTGTTAACAGTAAAACTACTGGGGGCTGGGTGGGGGGTGTGGTACACTAAGCACAAAATTTGTTAAGAAGGGATCTGAGGGGATCTGAGCCAGCACTAACGTGAATAGCTAGAACAGCTACTGTTAGGTTCCCAACAACACACACAACCGCACAGGGTTTACATTCTGTGTGTGCGTGTGTGTGTGTGTGTGTGTGTGTGTGTGTGTGTGTCTGTGTCTGTGTGTGTGGGTGTCTCATGAATATTTGAGGCTAAATGTCTGAAAAGGACTGCAACAGGCAAGTCAGCCATTGGAAATATTCTCAGGGGAAGTTATCCCAGGGGGAAGAAGGACTGAATCCCATCACAGGACCCATTTAGTCACTCCTCCAACGTGCCTTTTTAAGACACTGCCAGATATGTTACAAATGCATGTAAACACATCCATGGCCAAAGGACCATCCCTAAAGGAAAAAAAAAAAAAGATTTTTCTCCTCTGTTAAGAGGTGTCACATCTTAAGCTTTCTCCTGCCCATTTTAATAACAATAATATAAATATTAAAGGATGGCTGGAACCGCCTGCACTAACACCGAGTTAATTAACATGTTGCCTAGGAATGTCGCAGGGAGAAGAATTATTTCATGTCACCAAGACACAAGTTAATTAACATGGGTTTTCCCAGACTATTCCTTTCTCTCCTTTTTTAAAATGGAAAAGATTAACAAGCCCGGGCAGCACCAGGTTTCTTCTTGAATGTTATATAAAACCATGGCGGCAGGGAGAAGCCTGGGCTCTTCTGACCTTACTCGATCTGCACTTCACTTAATAAGATTCAAATGATTTGACAGGGATGTAGTCAGGGGGCCCAAAGGGAATCATTTTCCAGTCTGCTTTCTGCACTGACTTGGCAAACTGGCAGTGAGCAAAAATCAGGTCTCTCTTCGTCCTGGCTCTATTTTCTTATAACTTAAAATAAATTGACCAAAAATGATAATCATCATCATTGAAAACCCAACTTATTTTTCTTGGAACCATCAAATTTGCAAGGAGTTTATCAAGGAATTAAAAAAACTAACCTATCCTATCAGTCTCCTGGTAAAAAGATAAGCTTCCTTCACTGTGGAATTGCCTGCAGGTTTTTTTTTTTACATGCAAAATGCTCTGCGGGCAGGTGGGGGAGGAAGAGCTGGACTGGCAGCCAAGGGCACTGGAGTCTGAACAAGCTTTGCCGGGTTGGGTGGTCCTCATGTATTAGGGCTGCATGCTCCACAGACTCTCTGCCACAGGAAGATGGCAAAAAAAACCTGACAGCTACACAGTTGAGCAGATCTGACAGTAGAGGGCACAGAGTTACCTCTGCAGCCGCTAATACGAAACTGGAAATGCTAGAACATTCTGCGCAAAGGAACTCACTGAGTGCCGGAAAATTCACACGGCCGATAGTATGACCTGAGGCATCAGAGATGTCCTCGGCACTTGTGTCACTGGTGTTGTAGAATTTTTATTTGCCCTTCTATTTGTCCACATCTTTTTTTCCCTTAAACAGGAAAAGACTTCATGATGTCAGGAGGGCTAGTTACAAGAGCAGCTAATATCTGATACTTGTGCACCAAGCCAAGCACTTTGCGTGTATTACCCCCATCGAATCCTCACCTCCTCCTTGGAGGTGCATAGTATTATTATCCCCATTTGACAGATGAGGAAATCAAGGTTTAGGAAAGTTAAGTAACTTGCCCCAGATCACAGAGCTAGAAAGCTATGGTGCCGGGGCTCAAACCTACAACTGACTTCACAGTGACAGTCAAATTCTTGGAGGAACATGCCTTCAATTTTTAAATTTCTCATCACGTAATATTCGGGTCACACAAAAGAATATCTATAACCTGTAGATAGGCTTTGAATCATCAAATGAGCTCCTAAGAACCCATTCCCAAACTTATAGAGTATTCTGAGTTTTGTGTTTCTCATTCTCTTGCCTTTAACACCTTAGTCTTTTTACCCCATAGGCATGCATCCCTGAGCACATGCTTCTCAAATAGGAAGAAATGCCAACTGCTTCTTTGCGTGGGGCAGCTGAGACTCGGCCACCACAGCCTGACCTCATTCTGGCAGGTGGTAGGAGCTGGGGGAGACAGACCCAGGCTCGGGTGTCTGTGGCCGCCCAGCCTTCCTGCTGAGGGCCCCAAGGAGGGAGCCGAGGAGGATACCTGAGATAGTCTCTCCGACAGAGCTTCCGGCCCAGCTTGTAGTAGAGGCGTCTCCCCACCTCACCCAGCCGGCACCCGCAGAGGTCACAGCTGAGGCAGTCCTCGTGCCAGTACTGGTCAATGGCCTTCAGGAAGTAGCGGTCCCCGATGTTCTGCTGGCAGCCTCCGCATGTCAGCAGCGACGGGGGGATCTGCAGCACCTCATCCACTGGCTCCCTGGAAAGAAGG